CATAGTGACCCCATAAGAGCTGCATAGTGACCCCATAGATCTCCATATTGACCCCATAACAGCTCCATGGTGACCCCATAGAGCTCCATAGTGACCCGATAAGAGCTCCATAGTGACCCCATAGAGCTCCATAGTGACCACATAAAGCTCCATAGTGACCCCTTAGAGCTCCATAGTGACCCCATAGAGCTCCATAGTGACCCCATAAAGCTCCATAGTGACCCCATAGAGCTCCATAGTGTTCCCATAGAGCTCCATAGTGACTCCATAGAGTTCCACAGTGACCCCATAGAGCTCCATAGTGACCCCATAAGAGCTCCATAGTGACCCCATAGACCTGCATAGTGACCTAATAGAGCTCCATAGTGACCCCATAAAGCTCAATGGTGACACCATAGAGCTCCATAGTGACCCCATAAGAGCTCCATTGTGACCCCGTAACAGCTCCATAGTGACCCCATAGACCTCCATTGTGACCCCATAACAGCTCCATAGAGACCCCATAAGAGCTCCATAGATACCCCGTAAGAGCTCCATAGAGACCCCATAAGAGCTCCATAGTGACCCCATAAGAGCTCCATAGTAACCCCATAAGGCTCCATAGTGACCCTATAGAGCTGCATAGTGAACCCATAGAGCTCCATAGTGACCCCGTAGAGCTCCATAGCGACACCATAAGAGCTCCATAGTGACCCCATAGAGCTCCATAGTGACCCCATAAGAGCTGCATAGTGACCCCATAGAGCTCCATAGTGACCACATAAAGCTCCATAGTGACACCATAGAGCTCCATAGTGACCCCATAAGAGCTCCTTAGTGACCCCATAAGAGCTCCATAATGACCCCATAGAGCTCCATAGAGACCCCATAGAGCTCCATAGTGACCCCATAGAGCTCCATAGTGACCCCATAAGAGCTCCATAGTGTTCCCATAGAGCTCCATAGTGACCCCATAGAGCTCCATAGTGACCCCACAGAGCTCCGTAGTGACCCCATAGAGCTCCATAGAGATCCCGTAGAGCTCCATAGTGACCACATAGAGCTCCATAGTGACCCCATAAGAGCTCCATAGAGACCCCTCAGAGCTCCACAATGACTCCATAGAGCTCCATAGTGACCCCATAGAGCTCCATAGTGACCCCATAAAGCTCCATGGTGACCCCATAGAGCTCCATAGTGACCCCATAAGAGCTCCATTGTGACCCCATAAGAGCTCCATAGTGACCCCATAGAGCTCCATAGTGACCCCATAGAGCTCCATAGTTACCCCATAGAGCTCCATAGAGACCTCATAAAGCTCCATAGATACCCCATAAGAGCTCCATAGTGACCCCATAACAGCTCCATAGTGACCACATAGAGCTCCATAGCGATCCCATAGAGCTCCATAGAGACCCCATAAGAGCTCCATAGTGACCCCATAAGAGCTCCATAGTAACCCCATAAAGCTCCATAGTGACCCTATAGAGCTGCATAGTGAACCCATAGAGCTCCATAGTGACCCCATAGAGCTCAATAGTGACCCCACAGAGCTCCATGGAGATCCCATAGAGCTCCATATTGACCCCATAGAGCTCCATAGAGACCCCATAGAGCCCCACAGTGATCCCATAGAGCTCCACAGTGACCCCATAACAGCTCCATAGTGACCCCATAGAGCTCCATAGTGACCCCATAGAGCTCCATAGAGACCCCATAAGAGCTCCATAGTGACCCCTTGGAGCTCCATAGTGACCCCATAAGAGCTCCATAGTGTTCCCATAGAGCTCCATAGTGACCCCATAGAGCTCCATAGAGACCCCATAAGAGCTACATAGTGACCCCTTAGAGCTCCATAGTGACCCCATAAGAGCTCCATAGTGACCCCATAAGAGCTGCATAGTGACCCCATAGATCTCCATAGTGACCCCATAACAGCTCCATGGTGACCCCATAGAGCTCCATAGTGACCCCATAAGAGCTCCATAGTGACCCCATAAAGCTCCATAGTGACCCCTTAGAGCTCCATAGTGACCCCATGAGAGCTCCATAGTGACCCCATAAAGCTCCATAGTGACCCCATAGAGCTCCATAGTGTTCCCATAGAGCTCCATAGTGACTCCATAGAGTTCCACAGTGACCCCATAGAGCTCCATAGTGACCCCATAGAGCTGCATAGTGACCCCATAGAGCTCCATAGTGACACCATAGAGCTCCATAGTGACCCCATAAGAGCTCCTTTGTGACCCCATAACAGCTCCATAGTGACCCCATAGAGCTCCATAGTGACCCCATAGAGCTCCATAGTGACCCCGTAAGAGCCCCATAGTGACCCCATAGAGCTCCATAGTTACCCCATAGAGCTTCATAGAGACCCCATAAGAGCTCCATAGATACCCCGTAAGAGCTCCATAGAGACCCCATAAGAGCTCCATAGTGACCTCATAAGAGCTCCATAGTGACCCCATAAAGCTCCATAGTGACCCTATAGAGCTGCATAGTGAACCCATAGAGCTCCATAGTGACCCCATAGAGCTCCATTGCGACACCATAAGAGCTCCATAGTGACCCCATAGAGCTCCATAGTGACCCCATAAGAGCTGCATAGTGACCCCATAGAGCTCCATAGTGACCACATAAAGCTCCATAGTGACACCATAGAGCTCCATAGTGACCCCATAAGAGCTCCTTAGTGACCCCATAAGAGCTCCATAATGACGCCATAGAGCTCCATAGAGACCCCATAGAGCTCCATAGTGACCCCATAGAGCTCCATAGTGACCCCATAAGAGCTCCATAGTGTTCCCATAGAGCTCCATAGTGACCCCATAGAGCTCCATAGTGACCCCACAGAGCTCCATAGTGACCCCATAG